CGGGGGGGGCCGGGGGGCAGGGGGCGGGCGGACAGAGGGGCGTGGAGGCGCGCTCACCTGCAGGATCTTGCAGCGGTCGGACAGGCAGTCCATGTCATCGCACGGCTGGTACATGCCCAGCGTCACGCAGGTCAGCAGGATCACCAACATGCTGACGCATTCGAACCACGTAAGCGAGTCAAGGGAGAAACAGTGAGAGAGCCGCAGCCACGGGGGTTGGGTGCACCCCGGAGTGGAATACCCCGTCCCTCCGAACACAGGCACACCCCCTCTCCTGGTGCTTTGGCGGTCAGTGCTGGTTTTCAGACACTGCAGCCAGACCAGGCCCCATCACAGCAGACATGGCCCATGTAGGACCCACAAAGAGACCAAAACCCCATCCAGTTGCTACCTGAAGGCCCACTCTGAGGGTTCCCCTCTGGCCCAGGAAAACAGAGGCCCCCAGGCAGCGGATCTGGACCACCCGACACTCGCCACCTCCAAGGCTACCCTCTGTCACTGCCTCCCTTCTCTGACCCCCTTTGCCCTCCCTGACCTCCACCAGCTCCACCTCTTCCAAGTGCTGGGTCTGGAAGCTGCAGAGGCCCTCCAGTGGGGCTGAGACGGGCCACACCCCTGGCTTTCGCTCTATGCCCACAGCTCCAGGTAAGGCTGGTTACTAGACTCTGGAATGCTGGCACCCCCAGCCTGCACCTACACAGGCAAAAAGTCGCGGGCCGCTCCGGAGATCAAGAGACCATCTCCTAGCCCAGCCTTGGGCAAGACGTCCAGGGCACCATTTTGGAGTCAGGATGAGGCGCTGCTCTCCCCACCCCCACTGACAGCACCTCCAGAAACATCCCCTCCCTCCCTCCTCCCCTCCCTCCTGACACCTGCCCTGTCCTAGAACACAGCCGCCTGTGTCCAGTCCAGCACGTGCAGTCCACCTACCCACAGCACCAGGACCTCGGGTCATTCACAGCTGACAAGACCGAAGCCTGCTCAGGTCTCCCAAACCGGTGTCTCACCTTGACTGAGGCCTAGGGCCTCGGAAAAGCTGTGCTTGGCTGAAAAGGGGGCAAGCCAAGGGCAAGTGGACACAAGCCACACACAGCATGAATGACTAGGGGGGCTCCCGGGGGGACTTCCAGGCCATGGAGCCTGACCGGCCCTCAGAGTGTGACCAGAGCTGAGGGCAAGTTCCTCTCCTCAGAAGAGAGGTGCTGCTACGCCTCGCCACAACCACCTACGAAGCCCCCATTACTCGCCACAACCACCTACGAAGCCCCCATACCTGCTCAGTGTCTCCAGAAACTGAGCATCAGGCAATGGCAGGGCAGCTAAGAGGGTGACAGGGCTCTGTGTGAGCTCCAGGTCCGGCACTGACCCCAACCAGCTCTGGGTCTCAGGCAAGCCCCCTGCCATCTCTGAACCCCTAGAGGCTCCCTCCGGGCCATCCCTCTGGGGCTGCGCTGGTCCCTCTGTCCGCCCTCCCTGCAGCAGCAGTGAGATCAATTCCCTCCCCTGCTCAAAACCCTGCCCTGTGACCCTTCCCCTCCGCACAAACTCCAAAGCACTCCCCACTCCTGCAGGGCTCCCCAGGCCCTGCCTCTCGTTTCTGCCTACCTCTCTGGGCTCGCCCCTCCAGCCTCAGACCGCCTGCTGCTCCCTGGTCACAGGACACTCCACCTCAGGGCCTTTGCACGGGCTATTCCCCACCCCGGGAGACTTCTAATTCCCTCAAGGGCTGACCCTTTAACTTCAATGTCACCTCGTCTGCAACGTCCCCACCACCCCCTGTCCCGGCTTCCATCCTCCGAGCACTCAAGTCATGACGCTGTCTTGTCGACGTGCTGCTGTCTTGTCGACGTGTCGTCTGTACCCGCTGCTCGACCCACATCCCCAAAGCAGGGATTTCGCATTCATGGCCCTCGTGGTTGCGACACCTATCGGGCAGGAACTCGGTAAGTATTGGCAGAGTGAACGGGCACTTCGCTACGGCCCCCCACACACTGACAGCCCACCATTCTTAAGTGTCTCTAAATGAACCCCCACCTCGAAGCCCTTGCTCTTAGCCCAGAGGTAGCC